GATTATTTTCTCTAATTCTGTGAGATATACTATTGGAATTTTAATCAGAATTGCATTAAATCTGTATAACCCTTTTGGAAGTATGACCATTTTCACTATATTGGTTCTTCCTACCCAAGAGCAAGGGATAGCTTTCCCTTTTTGATATCCACTTCAATCTCCCTTTTCAGAGTACTGTAGCTTTCAGTGTACAGATCTTCTACACCTTTTGTTAGGTTGACTCCTAGGTATTTCATTTTTTGGGTGCTATTGTGAAAGGTGTTGTTTCCCTAATTTCTCTCTCAGTGAGTTTGTTATTCATGTACAGGAAGGTTATTGATATTTGAGGGTTGACTTTGTATCCAGCTACACTACTGAATTTGAGCAACCCTAAATTTTGACCACATCTCCTTGCTAAATTTCAACCACTCCCTAGAATCCTATTCTAAAGTTGAAAGACACAATATTGAAGCACAAGAAAGTAAAGACATTCCAAAGGAGGATGCTCTTTCATCTGCTGGTGGAAGATGGCATCAAAAGCAAGTCTGGGTTAAATCAGGAATGCATGGAGAAAAAAAGATCAACTCACCACATGTTCAGGGCATTCCTAGAAAAACCCTGGAACTTCAAGACCCAAGGCCTATCCTCCAGCGGGTAAGGTGACCTGTAATACCATACATACAGCCAGGGGTTTCCTCTAGGTGCCTTAGACATTGCCAGAAAAGGTAATTTATATAAATGGTCAACAAAAAGACACAAGAGCTCAGTGGAAAAAAGATGTTACATAACAAAAGGTAGCAAATAACATCATGTACTCACTAAAAACTATGACAGCAAGTGCCTTCTTGAGTGGAAAACTGAAGTCACAAAATAGGATAAAGATGCATATTGCATGTTGCAAAAATGTTCCCCACATCTGCACCAATGTAAGAAGAGGTTTTATAAAATATGTACTAAACCCATGATTAACTACGTATCTATGTTTTGTACTTTTAGGTGACCACATAGAGAGGCTGCCTGTGCCTCAACCTTGAGGTCCAGGGGGAGGTGGTGATCATGTGACCAGTACTTTGAGAGAGCCAGGTGCTGCACAGCCACCATGAACAGAGGGCCTGGGGTAGCTGAGCCTGACAGGGCACTAAAGAGGCTGAGACTTGCTCAAGTTATGAAGCCAAGTCTTCTCGGATGCTCTACGCTACACCAGGGAAGAGGACAGACAGGAAAGGACAACAGAACATGCCCCTTAGAGGCATCCAGACCTGGTTTGAAGGGGCCATGAATGACCAGAGGTAGATGACATGGTTGGGCTCCCAGACTACTGCTGACCAGAATCAAATGGACCACCAGGGGCAGATGTGGGTTACCAGACTAATGGGGAACATGGTTACCACTTTCAAATTCCCTCATAGCAAGCTTCAAGAGACACTTACTATATTAGGGCCTCATTGTAAGGAGTAGAGGTAATTTTATGTGCAAGAATAATTAGAAAAAAAGACAAGAAATGCTCAAATGAACCTGATACCAAGAACCATGGGCTCCTAGTGTGGCTGACGCTGTGAAGTGGGTATGATGACCTGGACCAGTCACAACAGCCTGAGTTGATGTTCCACAAATGAATGCTTCTTAGGACAAAGAGAGCTTTTGCATAAGTTTTCTTTGAATAATATTGCAACAAAGTACACTAAAATTGCCCTCTACAAGCTGTCACAACTGAGCACCAATGCATCAACAATGGGCCAGACATGGCACATCAAGTCAAAAAAGCATATGCTTTAGATCCAGCAATCCTCCCCAGGAGTTTACCTGAGGAAGTAACAAGGTGAGCACAAATGCACACTGGGAGATGCTCACCACTGTGTCACTTTGAGAATTTCACCTGAAACGCTCCAAGCTTCAGGATCATTGCAGAGAGAAGGCTTTAACCTTTTCATCTTACTTTCTCCTCTGGCTTCCATCAAGTGAAAAAAAAAAAAAGGATTTTCCTAGAGCTCTGAAAAGATATACATAATACTTTTGTTCCCCTGGTGCTGAGCCCCAACTTCTTGCACTCCTCGCCTCCACTGCTGCCCAGATCCACATACAGCCAAGTCTATGGTGTCTGGAGACCTACAAAGCCCACCAGCCCCCAGGCACTCAACAATTCCCTGGCGGACAAGAGCTACCTGGAGAGGCATGTGGCATCACAAGCAGACACAGCACTGTAGCCCTCTCTGGCCACCTCTGCCAAATCTTATCATGCTCTATTGGGATAATTCTATCACGTTTTATGAAAAGGAAAAGCCCAGACTGCTAGGAGGGAAGACAGCTTTGGGCTAGTAGGGCTTGGCCAATGTGGAAGACATAACAGGAAATGGAGCTACAGATGGCAAAGATGATGAGGGCATGGATTCCTCCCATCTGAGGAAGAAGAGGAAAGTGAAAGAGGAGAGTAAGAGATTGAAACCAGGCTGGTAAGACTTCAAGGACAAGGGGCTGGGGATTTAGCTCAGTGGCACAGAGCCTGCCTGGCAAGCGCAAGGTCGTGAGTTCAATTCCCGGTACCGGAAAAAAACCAAAACCAAAAAAACCAAAAAGACTTCGAGGACAAGGCTAGGAGGTTAAGGCCAGGTGGGTAAGACATGTGGGTAAGTCATGTGGGTAAGACTCAGTGGTCAAGGCCAGGTATGGCCAGTGGACCTCTGGCTATGAGAAGTAATGCCAGTATATTGAGGCTAAGAGATGAAGGCCCGGATCATACTAAATCTAGGTGGGTAAGGCCATATGGATTTGATAAGTTGCTAAGGCCAGTAAGTTAATGTCAGGAGCTTAATACCAAATGGATATGGCAAAGTGGTCAGTCGGGTAAGGCCATCAGGCTAGAGGAACTGGGTTAAAGCCAGTATGATTAAGCCAGGTGACTAAATCCAGGTGGGTTAAGCTGGGAAGTGGGGACCAGGTGAGGTTATGTGGTTAAAGCCAGTTAGACAAGGCTTACTGCTTAAGGCCAGATGGTTAGGTGGATACTGCCTAAAGGTTATGACCTTGGTCAGATTTGGGCCAAGCCTGAGTCCTACTTTTAGCAGTAACAGATCTGAGGACATAGAGTTATTCATCCTCAGCTTCCTCAGCTGCATATGAGATAAAGAATCTTCCGGAGAGCACTGTGAGAAATTCTTAGGTGATCATGTGGCACAGCCATGCCTCATGTTATTACTTCTCTTGGATCATCACTGTCTTGATTTAATAGGACGTTTGAAAAAGATGCACCCCTACTCCAAACAGCACATGTGGGAGAACAGCCACCTCCTCCCTTGCTCAGTGTCAAGGCCAAGGGAGTCTGGCCTCATGTCCTCTGTAGATCATTGGTGCTCTACTTCTTCCCTATGGCTGCCATAGAAGAGCTGGTTTTTGAAGTTACTTGGCTGGTGATTCCTCGTTCACCATTACAGCCAGGGAAAGAAGAGACACAGTGACACACTGAGTAAAATGTGAAGTATCAGAGGTGGAGTGGAGGCAGAAGCAAGCCTGTAGATGTGTAGGAAGCATCTATTCACCCCTGTTGATGAATTCTGCCACCAGGGAAGGCAGCCAAATCATGCCCATCACTGTGCACTCAAACACCCAGGCAGGGTCAGCAGGGATGCCAACTGGTGTGCTTGTGTTTACAAATCACACGTCGTCCCCACTTGCAGAAATCAGTTTCTGATATACATCAACACAGGAACTGTGAGAGGAATGTGAATGGTCTCCTGTACAATGGAAGCCCTGCTGTCTGGCAGGGGCTGCAGCCTCTCCTGCTCCCCTGGACCCACACTTATGAGGTCCAGCTGCATCCTCATCTGCCTGCATGAACTGCCCAGTGGTAGCCTTTCCTCAGCCCTCATGCCCAGATCTGCACTTTCCACCTGCAGGCCAGGTTGTGTCTGATGTTTCTCTGTTCTGCTTGCATGACACAGTGTCATCTCAGGGTATGACATGAGCACAGCAATCTCATGATAACCTAATGTCTAGAAACCCAAAGTCCCAGAGACCACACGGAGCCACCACCATTGGAAGGAAGACTTTGGTCCTGACTCAAGGCCTGTACTTTCAGACACTCCAGCTTGGTCTCGAGCACAGTCCTTGTTTCCTTTCCAGGTAGTGTTTCTTCCTTCTTATTTTGGCCGCATGATTCTCATGGCAGGTGCCCGGAGTTAAGTGGCCAGGCCTTTACCGGAGGTCTAAGGAGGGATGAAGGCATTGGTCTTTCTCTTCAAGGCTCAATTAGTGACGTAAAGTTCAAGGGCAACTGGAAGGCATGGCCACCAGGACATAAAGGCAGGTGTTTAGGAATAAGAGAAGAGAATGACGCACACTCATAGATCAGTGCTAAACTATTGGCAGAAGTTTTAACAACTGTGATTCTAGTTATGGAATTCTAGTCATGCCCCATATAGTGACATTTTGATCAACTATGGGCTGCATATACAATGATGGTTCTATACAATTACATTGCCTAGGGACATTATAGCCATCTTTAGTTTGTGTAAATATACTCTATGATGTTCTCACAACAACAAAATCCTGTAATGACAACTCTCTCAGAAAGTATTTGTCTCTTTAAGCAAAAACATGAATATATATTTGCAAATAAACTTCATGTTGTTCCAAGAAAATCCTTAAAATAAATTTCTCTCGCATATGTTCCTTAAAATTATGTTTCTATCTTGTGTACTCCACAAAGAAGGTAAAATAGAAATGCTGACTTGTAGCCTGGTGTGACAGCACAGCCAGTTCCAGCACTCCAGGAGGGTGAGGCCAGAGGATCAAAAATTCGAGCCCAGATTGGGCAATTTAGTGAGTTAGCAAGGCTCTTTTGCAAAATAAAAAAAAATAAAATTGGGCTGGGATTGTAGTTTAATGCAAGGGCCCTGGATTTAATCCCCAGTGCCAAAAAAAGATGGAAGGAAGGAAAAAAGAAGGAAGGAAGAAGGAAGGAAGAAGGGAGGAAGGAAGGGAGGGAGGGAGGGAAAAGAAAAGTTGGCTAGTATTTAAAAACTTACAGCCTTGACTTGCTAATTCCATTGCCCACACATCCAGAGTTTCTGTGGAGTCTCTATCCTTCAGGCTTCTTCAGTGAGAACCAATCAGGACATGGGAAGCAGTGAGAAGACAAACTCAATACCTATGCTGGCTTTCTCTGCCACATTGTAACAAAAGATCCCCTCCCCCCAGCAAGTACACTTCAGTTTGTTAGTTGCTCAGGTAACAGCTCCTGTTACTGTTGTCTCTTAGAAATGGCTGGTCACTGTGATGCGTAGCTGGTCACTAGGATGCATGTTGTAAGAACCAATCCCCAGTTGACAAGCCATTCTGCCCCTGTACTCCCCGCTTGCTTATCCCATATAAACCCTAGACCACCAGAGATCAGGGCCTGACATTTTGAGGAACAATTGATTCCTAGTCAGTGCCCATCTGACATTAAATAAATTTGCCTCCAAATCCTGGGTGTCATTTCCCTGTTGCTCCTTACCATTGCAACACTGCTGCCTTCTGGGCCTCAACTGCTCTTTGTCAGGGCACTCACTGTCCTTCATTGCGGGTTGTTCAGTAACTTCCCTGGCCTCCTCCCACTAGATGCCTCAAGCATGTAAAATTACTTCCAGAAACCGCAAAATCAACCTCAGCTGGGAGCCACCAGCTTAAGGACATTATTTCTAGGGCCACACTGCTTCTAAAAGAGTGCTCCTTTCCTGAGTTGTATAAATAAATGTACAACTCACTATATTCTCAACCCTCACTCCATTAGGAATGTTAAGACCTTGGGACTGCAAATCTGACCTAAAAGGAAAAGGAAACCAAGCAGTGCATTCTTGAAGCTCCTTGTAAGCACTTGTCCCACCAGTACCAGCTTGCCTATGGTGAATTTTACAAGAACAGAAAACAAGTCTACTCCATAGCAAAAAGTCCCAAGGGAAATGTAAACTCTCTTTTCCATAAGTGAAGTTAGAAAATAAAAGCACCTCCTAGAACTCTGCTGTTTATAGACAATCTAAAGAACAGTGATACTACAAGTCAACACTGGCAGATAATGCCCTTCTTTGAATTAATCTTCCAAGGTAGCCTTCTATTACACCTGAACCAGCACACCCAGGTCAGCTGAAGCTGTGATTATCACCACAGGCCCTAGCGGGGGATTCTGCTATGGTCTGAATGTCTAAGTGTTAAAATCCTAACCCCAATTATCCTGGTATTGGAGGTGAGGCCTCTGTAAGGTGATCCAGCCTTGAGGGTGGAGCCAGCACAAATGTTACTAGTGCCCTTAGAGATGGGACCCCAGGGAGCCCCTTTGACCCTTCTACCTTGTGAGGCTATAATGAGAAGGCACCATCTATGAACCAGGAAATGGGCCCCCACTGAAAGCTGCATCTGTTGGTACCTTTATTTAAGCATTTATCCTCCAGAACTGCAAGGAATGAATTTCTGTTGTTTACAAGCAATCCCGTTTATGGTATTTTTGTTATAGCGGCATGATACAGACAGGCCCCTAACTCCTGCTCCTGTGTTTGTTACCCTCTCCTGGCTGAACTGACTTCTGTTAACCCACTGGAAACTGAAAGTGACAGAGTGACCTCTGAAATTAGGTCATGGGGATCACTTATGCTGGGCAAAGCTGGTGGTCCTGTTGTGGGGTTGTGAGGATGTTTATGCAACCCTGTGGAGAAGCTCTTGTGGTAGGAACAAAGACTCTCTGCCCACAGGTGTGGGGAGATTTGGGAAGCAGATCCTGTGGCTCCTGACAACTCTGACAGCTGCAGGCCAGCACAGTACATTGACTACAATTCCTGAGACTCCAGGGTAGAAGTACTCATCCAGGACACTTGCTGATTCCTGACCCTATGAACTTGTGTGGGATAATAATGTTTTATCTTCATTTGAGGCCACTAAATTTTGGAGTTATTTGTTCTAAGACAGTGGCTAAAGTTTTTCCTCTTAAACATAAACATAGTACTTCTTTTCATCAACCAAGTTATTTTTGAAGAGATCTTGAATCCAATATGGAGCTAGGCAGTGCTGGAAAGGTCACTGGGACCCACCCTGCACCCTGAAACAGTGCAGCTTTAGCCCTCTCATAACTGTTGCTTGCTTCCCTAAAACTCTGTCCCATTCTTGGAAGATGGCCCCAAAGAACAGCTGAATAATCTAATAAAGACTTCATTGGTTAACAATCATAGCCCGAAGCAATTAGTACAGCAATAAATTATTCTGTACACCCTCAGCGAAGTAGGTAGCATTCCTAGCCCAAACCTAACACTTGTCACTCATTATTCAGTGCTGTCTGTGTTTTAAAAAGATCACTCACTTTCAATATCTGCTTCTCTTTATTTCCAGGAGAGAGCCCAAGCAGAGTAGCAAATATAGAGAGACCCTAGACTTCCATTCCTGCCTGAAGAACAGGACAGCAGCATGAGCACCTCAAAGAGTTACACAGTCACCTGACATTTAGAACTCTGTACATGGCATGACCAACCATCTGGGTGTTCTGAAGGTTAAAGGAGCTCCTAGGATGCAGAACTTTTAGGGTTCAAGTCAAACAAGCCCTGGACTAGCTATGAAGTACCAATTGCTTGATGGAGTTGTTAATACTCATAGGATCACTCAGGATCTGTCTCCTTTTGCAAGCATCAGTATCAATACCATTTACAAGTGATGCATACCATCCTTCTGAGCACAGCCTCTGTCCACATTCCCTCTTCCTGTGACAAAATGGTCCTTGCATCCAGGGCCCTGGTCTTTGCAGTATGGGGCCAATATGCTAGACTGTGCTTGTGTAAACCCACTAGTTCCCATCTCAAAACCTACAGCTGTATGGCAATACCAACCATTCTGAACCTCATGGGATTCAAGGCTCCTGTCTATAATACACACACCCATAGATGCCCTTCTGTAACTTCCTCTGCCCTTGATCATTCCCTATGTGTGTTTGGTTCTGTACTGAAACTTTACACATTAAAACAGTCCAAAGTCACACAAATTACATAATTGGAGCCAACTGTCAGTACAAATGTATACTAAAAAGATCCAGTTATAGCCCCTCTATGGTTTTACTCTGAAGCCATTCTTACTCATTAATATTTAGTAATATTAATACTAATACAGTAAGTACAGTACTATAAACCTCAATCATACAACCATTAACTTAAAAATTATATCATACTCCTTGGAATATACCATTTATACAAATCTTCCTTACATAGTCTACAGTCTATAACCTACAGAAAAATGAAGTATCAAAACACATATTATTTAATTTTTAAAATATATTTTTTGAAATTGCTATTAATTTTAAGATGAGTGTACTGTTTTCTCATGAAGTCTTTATAATCAAGATATTGATATTACATTCAAGATATTGATATTATATATAAATATTATGTTCCTATCTTCCATTAAGGAAACATCAAGTTTCTAAATATACCAACTTGTAATCCAATAGCAAATGTACTCCTTGGCCATAACTAAATTTAATTTCTTAGAAAAACAACTATATTTGGCCATTGCATTTGCAGTTATTGGAAATAAAGTTGAGTATTCTATCTCAGATAAAATTGTATCATTAATAGCAACAATAACTGTAAGCACATGTTCCCAAAACACATCTTGCTGCTAGAAAATGCCAAACCAATCAGAATGTGAAATTAAATACAATTATTTTGCTTCATTTAGAACATTTACTAGTGTTTACTACATGTCAGGCTTTGAAATGCAACTGATTTCCCAGATAGTGGGGTCCCATTACTGTCATCATTTTAAAAAATGCACAAGTGATCACAAGTCTCATAACCATATTATGATGCTCAATGACCACATAGTCTTAAGCAAGGCAGATGATATTGAACTGAAGTGATGCCCCATCTCACAGCACCACTCTTCAGCTCCCTTCTATCCCCTCAACATCCCAGTCTCACAGCCCTGTCACACCTCTAGGTGTGTCTCTCCTGTGAGGACTCAGACCAGCCTGTAGGTAACAGAAGCTGAGGGTATCAGCTGCAGTCAGGGATGTGAGGGAAGAAAGAAGGTGTGAAGAAAGGTCAGGTACACTCAAGGGTCTTCATGAGGAAGGTGTGAGCATCAGCACCCACAGGTGGTAGATGGCCATATGGACACAAACACAAAAGAGTCTCAGCCTTGCCTGTGTGACCCCTCCTGCCTCTTATTTCTACTTGTACTTTCTGATTTACTAATTCATTTTCCAGTGCTTATCTCTCCTTGCTAGAACATATCATCTGGAGGGCCAGGAATTTTGCCTGGTAAGAAAACAGCTGAAGCAAGGGCTGTACAATCTGGGTTGATGAATTTTACAAGCCAAGTCCCAAGGGGCAGTTGGGAGGAGGATGCAGAGGGCCACCCAGTAAATTGAGTTTGAAGGATTACAGTTTGTCATATCTTCTCAACTCTGAAGCTATGGCAAGAGAGCAGCTATCTGCAATCTGTAAATGAATGACTATGGCTATGTTCCAATAAAACTTTATTTACAAAATCCAGCAGTAGGTCATATTTGATGCACAGGCAGACCTTCACTGTCTGAAATTCAAGAAAAAAAAAGAAGTAAGAAGACACCAAGATAAGGAACCAAATAAAGGGATGGAAGAGCAGAAGTGTAAAAAACTATAATGACATGGAAAGATGAAAACGATGCCATGAACAGTAGATATTTACCAGGCACACTGAAAGAGTCCACAATGACCAACTAGAGAGAAAGCTACTAATGCAAATATTAGGGGTCTGTGTATATTCTTGACCTCCTGTCTCAGAAAGCATTTAATAAAGTCAGCATCTACTTTGACTCAGCAAGTGCCTATACACGTGACCATGGCAATGCCACAGCCAGCACGGTGATTGCTCAATGAAGCTCAGAAGCACTCCCAGACCAGATAAGAGCAGTGAGGAGCATACTACTACCTTATGATGGCTGCACCCACCAGACAAGGTAGCAGAAAGGAAGCGCTTACGAAAACCATTAGAGAAACCATTTTTAAATCCATAGCTTTTCTCTATATCAGCAATTATTTTGGTAAAAAAGACAAAAATTAAGTCCCTTTTGCAACACTCATAAAAGTGCAAAACAACCAGGAGATTCTTATTACTGAAAAGTATTTAGAGCCAAGTTGAAAGCTATCTAAGGGGCAGGTTCAATGAGATGCGCTGGGGTGGGTGAGGGCCTTGCT